CACTAACTTTTATGTGGGTTAGGGGTCATGAATTAGCACTATCACGCACTATCGCCGATACCGTTTTCACTTGCTGATTTCTGATTCAAGTGTTCACTTTCATCAAACTAATGTTCCTGAGTTGGGTCAGACTTACCCTAATTCTTGAGTCCTTGAGCCAACAGAACACACATCACGTCCCGTTTGCTAAGCATCGCAAAATCTATTCATTTTTTCAGTTAAGCCCCAAAAAATACATTCTATTTGCCAGAACTGGTAAATGTCATCCGGGCCCTTCCCCGAAAGGGCTCGTTGACATTAGTATGTAAAAAATTACAAAATATAAAAGAGTGCGATTTAAATTTTGTTTAACTGTTTTATATTTTTCGGAGCCTTGAACAATTTCAAAAAAAGACTTCAAAAGATTTCGATTTATATTTTTTAAACTTCAAAAATTTTCGGAGCCTCCGAAAATTTACAATATTCAAAAAAATTAAATCGGACTGTTCTCAGAGATCACCAGATTTCCAGATGATTTAAAAATTTAAAACACGTAAAAAAATATACAAGATTGCGATTTAATTTTTTAAATTCATTAAATTTTTCGGAGCCTTGAAAAATTAAAAAGTTCAGAAAATATGAAAGATTTCGATTTATATTTTTTAAATTTATATAAACTGTTAAAATCTTTAAATTTTTAAATCATGTGGAAATCTGGAGATGTCTGAGAACAGTCCTACGATTTAAATTAAGAAAATTAGAAAATATAAAATATGGCGATTTATTTTTATAATTTTTTGAAATTTTCGGAGCCTTGAAAAATTTTCAATACTTAGAAAATATAAAAGATTTCGATTTATATTTTTAAACTTTCTAAATTTTTTCGGAGCGTCCGAAAATTTTTAAAAAATTAAACAATTTAAAACGGACTGTTCTCACAGATCACCAGATTTCCAGATGGTTTAATCTATATTTTAAATATTTTAGAATTTTTTCAGAGCCTCCAAAAATCTAAAAATTTTTTGAAATTTAAATCGGACTGTTCTCAGAGATCACCAGATTTCCAGATGATCTAAGATTTAAAATTTAAAAAGTTTAAAGAAGTTTGAAAATATAAACAATGTAAAACATATAAAAAGATTGCGATTTAATTTTTTAAATTCATTAAATTGTTCGGAGCCTTGAAAAATTTTTCGAATTTAGAAATATAGGAGATTTCGATTTATATGTTCAAAATTTCAAAAAAAAATTGGCGCCTCCGAAAATTTTAAAAAATTAAACAATTTAGATCGGACTGTTCTCAGAGATCACCAGATTTCCAGATGTTTTTAGAAATTCTAAAAACTTAAAAAATATAAAAACAATAAAGATTGCGATTTAGATTTTTTACTTTTTTTTAAATTTTTCGGAGCCTTGAACCATTTATAAAATTTTAAAAAAATATTTTTGATTTTTTTTCGGAGCCTCCGAAAATTTTCAAAATTTAAATCGGACTGTTCTCAGAGATCACCAGATTTCCAGATGATTTAAGATTTAAAAGTTAAAAAGTTTAAAGAAGTTTAAATATATAAACAGTTTAAAACATATAAAAAGATTGCGATTTAAACTTTTCAAATTCTTTAAATTGTTCGGAGCCTTGAAAAATTTAAATAAGTTAAAGAGTATAAAAGATTTCAATTTATATTTTTGGAGGCTCCGACAAATTTAGAAAACTTAAAAACTATAAAAGATTGCGATTAAATTTTTCAAAAATTCATAAAATTTTTCGGAGCCTCCGAAAATGTAAAAAAAATAAATCGGACTGTTCTCAGAGATCACCAGATTTGCAGATGATTTAACAATTTAAGGAATTTATTTTTTTTACAAAGTTTGAAAAATCTAAAAGATTGCGATTTAAATTTTTAAAATTTCTATTTATTTTTCGGAGATTGAAAGATTTTAAAATTCAAAAAAGATAAAGGATTTCGATTTGTATTTTTTGAATTTTTGTTTTTTTTAAATCATCTGGAAATCTGGAGATGTCTGAGAACAGTCCTACGATTTAAATTTTTTCAATTTTCAAAAATTTCAGAGGCTCCGAAAAATTTTTGAAATTAAGAATATACAGATGTCAATTTAATTGTTTAAAATTTTTAAAAAAAATTAAATCGGACTGTTTTCAGAGATCACCAGATTTCCAGATGATTAAAAATCTTGAGAATTTTAAAAAATGTAAAAAATATAAGAGATTTCGATTTATATTTTTAACTTTTTTTGATTCTTAAGATTTTTAAATCATTTGGAAATCTGGAGATGTCTGAGAACAGTCCTACGATTTAATTTTTTAGATTTTTTAAATTTTCAGAGGCTCCGAAAAACTAACAAATATAAAAGATTACGATTTAATTGTTTCAAATTTCTTAAATTTTTCGGAGCCTTGAAAATTTAACAAATTTAAAAAATATAAAAGATTTCGATTTATATTTTTTCAATTTCTTAAACTTTTTAAATTTGTAAATCATCTGGAACTCTAGGGATGTCTGAGAACAGTCCTACGATATCCTACGATTTAATTTTTTATTTTTTAGATTTTTGGAGGCTCTGAAAAACTTAAACCAAATATAGAAGACATAAAAGATTTCGATTTATATATTTTTTAATTTTTTAGGCTCCGAGAGATTTAAAAACTTTTGAAAATTTAAATCCAAATCTTTTATATGTCTTAGTTTTTTTTCAGGCACCAAACAGAAATAAATAAATATATCGTAATATTTTATAGTGTTTTTATTTGTTTATTCATTTAGAAATCTGAACATCTCAGACGACAACCCAATTTAAATCCATCATTTTTGATATAGTAGTTATATATAGTTATTAATCTATATATTTAATTATGTTAGCTTAAATTATCTCAAGGCAGACTGCGCAGCACATAGGGTATACTCTTCCCTCTTACGGGGGGGGGGAAGGGGGGGGGGAAGTTAGACTTGTCAAAAATCCGCTCCGTGGGTACAATTAGACTAAAAACAAAACTACTACTAGGATAGCATACAAACCAATCATCTAAAACACGCCGCGCCCAAGGGCCGGCGGATTCAAGGTTCAAGCTGCCGCTGAAAAGATAACAATACATACACAATCATCTTCAATGTGCACGGATCACTTGAGATGTTTAAGTCAGCCCGTGTCTGTATGTGGAGCTTAATGGGGAAAGGTGCACCCCCAAAAGTCACCCTTACATCATCTTACATTTGTGTAAGTCAACCAGACAGCCGATTAGCTGGGTCAAAAGTGCTATTCGTAAGTGACTGGAACTTAACCTGCCTTCTTACGCCCGGGTTTTGGCCTTGTGCCATTATCATTTGAGAACATGCAAAATACTTTGAAAGGGTATGTGGGTGTATATATATATATATATGGCATCTTGCAAGATTTATATACTTACACTATGCCTCGCCTCAAGTGGCAAGGCATCACAGCTCAACCTGGCAAGCACAATTTATTGTTTCTTGCTTAGTCAGGCTGCCCCAGCGTGAAGATTGAACACCAAGATCATTTGAGGGTGCTGCTTCATGGCAGTAAGGTTCAAATGCAATCAACCCTTCAATGTTCCTGTGGCGCTGCGTATCGTTGCATCCTTTCCCATCCCAGGTCAGCTCAGTTTGGTGCTTGAAACAAGGTGGGCAAGCCGGCAAGCTGGGACCAAGCTGGGATGCCACTATGAGGACGTATTTTTGATGGCGTACTGTTAAGGCTTTGATAAGAGTCTTTGTGCGACAAATTTCCATCCATCCACATCCATCTCTGAAAAGGCATCCTATTTTGGTCCTGTTTGCACTGAGGTGTGTGTCTCAGAGTGAGTAGGGAAGGGACTAGGGACCCTTCTTTACCACGAATCGTCGAGAAATAACGATTCCAGTCAGGAGGTGCTTGAAGGCGCCACCTTCAGTTGCGTAGATTGGCAAGCCAATTTGCAAGAATTGTTTGCATCTTATCGAGCCGGTCCAATATCCAGACCTTGCTCACCAAGCTGACCTGTGTCGACTCATTCTGTCCTCAGGGCTTGATTAACTCCACCTTTATTTGTCGCACTGGTGAACAGCAGGGGTTGGACAGGACCCAAGAAGAGACAAGACATGCTGCAGATGCCAGCAAAAGGATCACAGGTTATACAAGATTCTTGTCAAGGAAGAGGGGAAGGGCAACCTTGGGATTTGATTCGCAATTGAGTGCTATATAGCTGCTATGATGTGAATAGAATAGGCCTTGAATGATGTCTGGTGTTCTGGACTATAGTCCAGTCTGCTTTTTGCTTGTCAGGCTTTTTCCCACACGTATTGGCCAAACCTGGTCATAGTTCACCCTTTTAGCTTTTTGTTCAGGTGTAGCAGTACTGTATTGTCGTTTCTGCAGAGGCTTGGCCAATATTTTACAAGAATTCAACCGACACCGCTGACACCCATACCGATACCTACTTTGTCTTCTTTGGCAGAAGCATGATAGGATCAACACCTGTCCTATTTGCGTGAAGCACCGGAACATCTCTGAAACCAGCAAACTTGAGGATCCCGGCGTTTATTTGTGTGATGATCATATTCTGTTGCAATAGCCTTTGAGAGGTTGGGTGAGATCCGGCCGACCAGCCCGGTTTTGTGTGACAAAGATGCATGGGCGTTGAGCAACCATATCTATATATATATATATATCGCTATATATATATATATGTGCACTGATCTCAAATGACACTCGAACTTTAGCGGCTCCAGCTGATGGCAGCTGGACCAATGAAGCTTGCCGGTGGCCTCAGCTGTTGGATATCAAGAACCCCCCCGACTGGCAAAAAGGTCTTCACATGCAAGAATCGTGCGACCATGGTAGAAGTGCAAATACGGCAAGATGGATCAAAATCTTTGTCGGTTGAAACCTGTCACACCCCTTGTTAGAAGTGTCGTATCCTTGTCTCCCAAATCCATCCACAGTCCCTCGCAAAAGTTCAAAGCGAGCTTGTGTGACATTGAATGCATATGAATCTGAATGTTTGATCACTGTAATCGCACAAAGGATTGACATGGCGAGTTGCACTTGATTTCCCACTGTGCCGTTCCAAATTCCCTAACTGAGTGCTGACGAGGAATAATTTGAGGGTTGAAATAGGACTTGTCAAGGTATATCCACAGTTTCTTCAACAGGGCCTTGGTGCGTAGGGCTCACTGTTGGAAACCAAAGGCGGTTTGAAAAGCAATACATCCTTTGCGAGCTTTTACCACCAAGCTCTCGCTGTGCAGAATTTGCACAAGCTGTATGATTCAGGTGCTCTTGGATTTCGGTATGACATGCCATGCTTTTGCGCGCCATTTTTGGCAACCTGTGGTGTTTGTGGTACGTGCTGGCAGATGACCTGCCTTGTCGATTGAGAGTGGCGCATTGCATTGTTGGGCATGTACGCACATTTTGGCAGGAATCAGTGTACCAATCGATTGCCGATGTCCTTGTGGCACGAGCTTCTCCCTTCCACTGTGCTGATTTCTTCTACGTCCTGGGAATGTCATCAAACTTGGATACTTTCAAGGGAGGAGTCTATGATTACAACGAGACGCTGCTCTGGAACACTGCATGGAAAGTCTTGCCACCAACAAAGTACTTGCTAGAGCCTCCACCACCTACCGGTCCTCGTCACACGTCCTATCATCAACCAGACTGCCTCTTCCAATGTGCCCACATGTTTGACAAGGTACGACTTTGCCTTGAACTAGTACGACAGTATGAGAGGGAAACAGGGCAGAGGTATGCATGGATTGTCCGCAGCAGGCCAGATTTGCAATGGGCTGCCGAAACGGAGATGCCATCCTTGGAAGAGCTATCAAACTCAAGTATTTACACCGCAATCACTCGGAATTACATACAAGATAGCATTTGCAAAGATCCAGTGCAGATAGTCCCACGAGGCTTTGCTGAAGATATTTTTGACAGGATCCTTGACACATGTCTTTTGCGCAGAGATTTGGAAGGCGAAATCTGGAATTGTGATACATGGATTCAGCGCTTTTGCGACTCCAGACACATCCCCATCACGCTTCTCAGGTTCCTTGGCTGGCATAAATGTGAACATTCTTGAGTTTTCAGAGCCAAAGCCGAGCCAAACGTAAAATCTTGGGTTCTTGTTGGCTTTGTGACCTGCATTCCAAGGCTGATTGCCATGATCCATCGGCTTCCGAGCATCAAGGACAACTTTTTTGACTACCACGACCAATGGTATCAGCATGTGCGGTTCGCTCAGCAGTTGCTGCCAGACTCGATCTTTATTTTAGGGAATGAGGATGAGGGCTTCTCAAAGAAAGACATGAAGTGGTCCAATTTCACTACTTCGATTCCAGCTGCGCTTGAACCACAAGAAGGATGCATCACAGTAGCCGACAGTCAGTTTTGCATGCCTGTGAATGCTTACTTGAGTCTCAGTTTCATCAGAGATTCATGGCGAAGGTCCCTGCCCAATCCAGTATGTGGCATGCTATTTTTATAATCTAGTCATGTACATATATATATATAAGAGGTATACTATATTGTATTATTTTGTATTTTATAATGACTTAGACATGTCAGACATGTGCCAGGATCATTGCACAGACTACTTTCTTTGGAGAGTCAAAGTGCAAAACCTGTTGTGAGCTACAACGAAGAGACTGCCTCAATAAACACACTCTGACATTGGTTTTCAGTTAACTCAATTCCCAGGTCGAAAATGGTGAGGGAACGGCATGGTGAGAAAGTCAGTTCACTTGAAAGGTTGAACAAGCTGTTTGTGCGTGACTACATGCAGAGCTCAGCAGTAGTGAACGAGCGGCGCAACTCAGCTGCAAAACCAAGGTTTCGGGGGTGGAAGCATGAAGAACCATGAATCAAACCGTGGAAAAGTAGGGTGACAGCTTGTGGAAAAACTCAGCAGGTACACAATGCGGCGTCCCGCATTGCTTCACGACCGATCTATCACTGTCTTCGTTGGGCAGTGAGTGATAGTGGTCCACTGCCCCCCTGCTGGAACAAAACGAGGAAAACTCTTAGATACAGAGTGTGACGCACACACTCCGCCGCTTTGCGGCGCTCTGGCATAAAACCTAAATAGGCACCTAAAAAGCCTTAGAAAAGAAAGAAAGAAAAGCAGAAAGAGCAGCGCTAAAAGGGCAGGAGAGAAAGATAGGTGTAGAAAAAGGTGATTTCTTAGCCCTTGACTGGGGTAGGGAAACGAACCTCAAGAATCACCTAAAAAGCCTGAAAGAAAGCCCAACAAACGACGAAAACCGCAAGAAGGAAAGCGGGGGGCAGGGATGGGGTGTATGTCCATGTGTGTGTACATGTGTGTGTCTGAATACTTAGCACTCTAGAGTTACTGAGTGCAATAGTTAGGGAGCGGGACTTTAGTCTTAAACCGCCCGGGTAGAGTAGACTAGAAAAGGGACAACAGAGGGAAAGGCACCGACACACAAGTGTGTCGAGTACCATTTCCCTCTGTTACCCTAATTAGTGGGTGGGGGGGGGGTTGGGGTGTTTGGGGTAGAAAAAACGTCGGGGTTTATTCTCCGTGAAAGCCCGGCGGCTGGTGAAGCAGTCGATCCAGTGGTGAACAAGGAAACGGTTAAGAGAATCCAAGGTTTGAAGGGAAGAGTAGAAGCTGTTACACGATTTCCGGCATGAAAACAGCGCCTCCTTGCGGAGGATCACACCCAGCACCCAAGTGGGACGACTGAGCGATTCACACTCTGACATTGGTTTTCAGTTAACTCAATTCCCAGGTCGAAAATGGTGAGGGAACGGCATGGTGAGAAAGTCAGTTCACTTGAAAGGTTGAACAAGCTGTTTGTGCGTGACTGCAGAGCTCAGCAGTAGTGAACGAGCGGCGCGACTCAGCTGCAAAACCAAGGTTTCGGGGGTGGAAGCATGAAGAACCATGAATCAAACCGTGGAAAAGTAGGGTGACAGCTTGTGGACAAACTCAGCAGGTACACAATGCGGCGTCCCGCGTTGCTTCACGACCGATCTATCACTGTCTTCGTTGGGCAGTGAGTGAT